TTATAAAAGTAGCTATTTTTATAAAGTTTAATATTTACATAGCCTTTAATAAGATTAAGATAAACTTAAGCTCTAAAAATTGTACTACTTTTTAGACATAATATAAAATATATAAGTGTAAAGTCTTACTTTTTAGATTATGCAACAGCTTAGTAACTTACTAGTGCTATATAAATAATATATTAATTAACTATCTAGATAACTTTTATATTACTTATTTAAATAACATTCTTATCTACTTTAAAAATAAAGTAACTTATATCTTTTATGTTAAAAAAGTTTTAAAGAGGCTTTAGTAAGCAGAATTATAAGTAGAGATTAAAAAAAGTAAATTTTATATTACTTAAATAAAGTATCTTAGCTATATACTTTTAAATAAAGAACTAAAGGTTAACTTATAAAAAGTAGAGGTGCTACGCAACTAGTAAGCGCTTACTACTATAATAAGTGTAAAAAATTTTCTAAGCTTTACTAAATTTTATTAATTATTTATTTTAAAATTCTTTTATATAGTAAAACTAATTATTATGCTTTAAAGTTCTACTACCCCTTTTATATAAACTTTAGAGTGTAATAGGGCTTTTAAAAAGCTAAAGTTTAAGCTACTAAAAATACCTACACTTTACTATTTTAACTTTATGTTATAAACTAAAATTAAAACTAACACCTTTAATAGAGTAGTAGTAAGAGTTCTATTTTAAGAACATGCTAATAGAAATTAGTGCCCTATTTTATTCTATAGTAAGGTCTTATTTAGTTTAGAGCTAAACTAGAAAATATATAATAAGAAGCTATTTATAATTATTATAGCATTTAAATGATAAAAAGCTAAGCTTACATTAGTAATAATAAGCACTTTAGTATATACTAATTATTAGTTATTAAAGTACTTTATAATAATAAAGGTGCTAAATGCTTATTAGGTTTATTAAGCTAAAAAGTTAGCTTAATATTACTTTTAAATTAAGTACACCCTTAGTAAGAATAATGCTAGGGCAGACATTCTTAGCTATTGTAAATAGGACATAGAAAATTTAAAAGCAGCTTAAACTAATAACTAGTTAAGGGTCTTACATAGACTATACTAACTCTACTTTTAAATTAATAAAGAATTAGCTTAGTACTATATTACTTAAATAATAACTTAAGTAACCTTACTAAATGTTATAAAAGGACTAGACTAGGTTATGTCTTTAAATTCTCTAAAATTAATTAATATATTACTTTAAAAGAATTAAGCCTTTTTTACATAAAAGTAAAAACTTTTACTCTACTATTATTAGATAGAAAATAGACTACTTTTTTATGCTAACTATTTATGTGTTCTAGTAGACTTACTACTATATACTTAACTTATTTAAGAAGTTTATAATTAAGTATCTTTAGCACACCCTAGTGCTACTAAGACTTATTAGTTACTATCTTAAAAGTACTACTAAAAGGGTATAAAAGCTACTTGCAAATAATATGTATAGAATTACCTTTTCTATTATAAAGCTTATCTAAAATAAGCCTAAACTCTAGGGTTTATTTACTTTTTTTTAATCTCTAATTAACTAATGCAGCACTTGTGTATTAATTTTAAGAATTTTTTTAAAGATAAGTTTAGTTATAACTAAATTATAGTTATTATTAATTACATGTTTAAACAAGCTATTTCTATTTAACGTACTTCATAGGCGAGTCGCTCACACACCCAAGTCGCTCACTTTTGCCAAGACCCCACCCCAACAAACTCTATTATAGCCTATAACAACCCGCTCTGGCACTATATAGTACAGTACAGCCTAGAATATTATTTAGATACTACTTCTACTTCTTACTTACACATTTGCGCGTTATGCCTAGTCTAATTACACTGTCTACAGCGCCTTTAGGATAGCTTACCTACTTTAGCTTGCACCTGCTTTTTTGCCTTCTTTCTATTACTACGCGCTCTAAACTTCTTTAGAGCTGTTAAGTGTAGGCTTTCTTAAATTATTAAAGTTTTTTCTACCTTAATTTACTTTTTTTTATATAATTTATGTTACATAGCAGCCTTATTAGCTACTTAAAGCTTAGTAATTTCCTATTACACTAACACTAGCTTATGCGTAATTATTGCTGCCTCTTTTAAAACCTTCTTAAACGCCTTAACTATAAAAGTTAGTAAACTATTTATATACTTCTAAATTTTTATCTTTATAAGCATTAATTATAACCTAAGTTCTAAAGTATTACTTAGAGTTTACTACTGCTAGGGCTTATTATATATAGATAGTAGTAGTAATAAAGTGCGTAACTTTACATTAAGGCTTATTATAACTTATTATAAGTTAAAAAGAACTAATTTAGCGCCTTAGAACTCTTCTTAGATATTACTAGAAGTAATTATAGTATTATAAGCTGCTTTAAAGCATAGTAGAAACTTTATTTTTATAATATAAGTAATCTAGTTACATATAAGGTTTTTAGCTTAGCACTTATACACCTTCTTTAAAGAAGTAAAATAACCTACATTAAGTAGCTATAAAAAGTGTAATAAGTAAAAAGGCATATAAATAGTAATAATCTTGTTATTTTTATAGTATTACTAAAAATAAAGTAAGTTATAGCTCTTATAGCTGTTAATAACTAGCAGACAGTAGCTGCTAACAGTACGCTTCTTTATATGCGCGTTAAAGTGCTTTAACTAGTCTAGACTAAGCTAATTAGTAGTCTAGCTGCGCTTAAAGATTATAATAACCTAATTCTAAAGTAGATTTTCCTTTTTGTACTAGTTTAAAAAGTAGTTGCTACTTTAAAAGATAATAAAAGGCAGAATAGCTTACCCTTTAGCATTAATGCCCTAGATAGCTGTTGTCTACTCCTAGTTACCTAGCTAGACTGCTTTTAGCTGTCCTTGTCTCTCTAAACCTGTAATAACTGCTCTAGTAGATATCTAGCCTATTATAAACTCTATTTTATTAAAGTTATACATGTTATTATTCTAGATGCTATACTTAGCTTTAATATTCTCTATAAGGTTAAACTAGCCTTAAATTACTATAAGATTCTTATAAAAAGCTTTTTTATAGTTATACTTACACTTAAACTTTACTTTAAGCTTTAAGTAACACTTAATAAATGTATTAAGCTAGTTTATGCTAATATAGCCTATATTACACTTAGCGCATAAAGAATTAGCTATATTAGCTATAGCTGCTAGCTAGGGGGGAAATCCTTGCGCATTTAGCTTAAGTATGTGCTAAATAATTACCTGCTCTTTATTATTATCTAGCTTTTATAAGTTAGCTATATAATTAGCTTAGAAAGGTTGTCTAGCGTGTTAGTTACTTATTATCTTTTAAAAAACCCTGTAGATAGCTGCAGCACGTTAGTTAGAAAGTGTTGCGTTTTATTTAAAAGCCTAAAGTATAAGCTACATCTAATGTTCCTTTAACACATTTAAGTAGTGTTATTAGAAATACATTAGTGTAAAAAGAGTAGTGTAGTAGGGTCTTAGCAAAAGTAAGCAACTCAGGTGTGTAAGCAACTCGCCTATGAAGTACGTTACTACTATAAAATAATTAACGCCTAAAAAATAGCTGCCTTATTTATTTAATAAGTGTACTATTTTAGCTACATACCTAAAACTATTATTTTTAATTAAGGACTTTAGTTTATATCTAGTTTCTAGTCTAAATTTTATTAAATTTTAGGTATAAAAGTTAAGCTTTTTACTACTTATTATAAGAAAACAGATAGCTAAATAAAAATTATAAATAAGTATATTAATTACAGACTAAGGCCTTTTATATTTTTCTACTAAAATAACTAGAGTTTCTTACTACCCTTAATTAATTAGGCTTAGATAACTTTACTTTATGCAATAATTAAAATGTTTTTATATTAAGTCTTATATAGCTCTAAACTATGTTAAAGCTAGGACTAGAAACATTCTACAGAACCTATCACAGCTATAGACAAGCTAAATTATAAGGATGCTCTAGCATTAGCAACCTGCATGCACGCAGCCTAGGCGTTAGCTAAGTCCTATATAGAGAAGGCCTAGGATTAGATGCAAACTGTAGTTAACTGCTACTACTAACTAGTTAACTAGGAGGTTAGCAACATAGTCTACCTAGACACTAAAAACCTAGCTGTCTAGAGACCTAGCTAAAAACTATCTAAATAATAGAAAGGCTTCTTTAAGGTACTTAAACAAGTTAGAAACTTATACTGCCTAGAGCTACCTCTAGGGTTAAAGATATATAACGTCTTTGCACTAAACATACTCTGTAAAGACCCTTAGGATCTGCTCTTAGGACAAGAACCTCTAAAACAGCCTTAAAGGCTCTCTTCTTGTCCTTCTTACTCCCCACGTTTTAGGCCGCCGCCTATAGCTTAAGATAGCTCTAAAGGACTAGAAATTCCTCCTTGCAATATAAAAGGACCTACATGCGCGTTAGTAAACTATACCCTAGTAGTATTAAACTATATTTATATAAAGTTATATTTCTTATTATGTAAAGTGTAATATTTACATTTCTTTAATCTAAAAAACTAATAGAAGAACTTAACCTAAAGGCTGCAGGTAAGGGCGCAGGCAGCCTAAAGGCAGATAACTTAAAACGCCTCTAAAGAGGCTCTAGGAGGGGGGCAGAGCAGCATAGTAATTTTCTTTAATACTATAATTAGTTAGTAGACTAAGCTATAGAATGTTAGGTGTACAATAATACCTATAAAGTAGAGATTTAGATAATAGCTAAAAAAGAAACTAACAACATTAACTAGACTATATAAGTAAGGCAAGTAAACACTTATTACTATAAATAATAAATTTGCTATATTAATAATAACTACACTGCTAGTTACTACTAAACAAAAACATTATAATAAAGGCATTATATTAGTATTAGGTTTTTAGTCTATTTCTTAGTAATAGGAAATTTTAGTTAAGATAGTTATACTTATTATATTCTATTTAAATTAGTTTTAAAGTAGTTCTAAATACTTTCTAAACACCATAGATAGGGACTATTAGCCTATAAAAGAAGAGGTAGTGTAATAATTCTACAAATTGTTCTATCTTAGGTTGCTTAGATCCTATCCAAAGGGTCCCCATATCAGCCCCAACCATAACTTGACCTAGTCCTCTGCAGTTACTGGAGGCCGCACTTTACGTGAAAAGGGCGCAGAATTTTGCGATAGAAGCTTATAAGGAGATGAGGAGGAAGCAGTTAACAAAGAGTGGAAAAGTAACCCAGAATTGATTCAGTACATTTCATGATAAACTTACAGCGTGTGATAAGCATAACACAGAACATGACTAGAGTGAAGTCTATCTTTTAAACCTCTTGCTAGAATCGATGGTAATATCAACAGGATATATATTTCCGGCCCGTTTCATTACCTGGTCTGGTCTGGGCCTGTGGCTCCAAGCCGTTCACGCAGAGGTCGCGTTGCATGATGCTGCAAAGAAGGAGACTTAAGCAACCGGCGTCTGATGGCGCGTCGAGGAAGCGAAATCCTACTGTAGAGCATCACAGCGCCTGTGAGCAGTGCCAAAGCTCCGGCTTGGTGTGCAGCAGCCAACCAGGTAGGAACCATATAGATGAGAGTGCCAATGCCAAGTGCTGCTTGCATCCAAACAAGATGTACCATTCCCATGACGCCTTTCTTCGCATTCTTGGGAATCGTAGCGCGCACAGTGCTAGAGTACCGAGTGTAAGTGAGCAGGGCCATGATGGCTGTGAAGGTTGTGGTGGCCAATATTCGGTGATCAAGTTGGACAAGCGAGGGGTTTTCGAGCATGTTCCGCCACCACAGGTCAGAGTGGTCGTTGACGTGGCTGTAGAATGGGTCAAAGAGTTCCTTCTTAGGTGGAGTCAGGCCGATGCCCATGTACGGAAACTCGTTGTAGATGAGGCCGGCGTCCAGGCCGGCTACTAGCGCACCGGACATGGCAGTTGCGAAGACAAGCAGGGCAAGCGCGACTACGGAGCACCGGAACAGGCGCAGCTTCGGATTCATGAGCAGTGATAATACCTTGCGAGCCTTTTCTGGGCGTGCGAGCAGGCGGCGTTCTTTGAGGATGGAAAGGCCGGAGAGGAGCATCGAACAGTAGACAGCGAAGGCGGCACCCAGATGGGCCGTCAGGCGGTACTGGCTGACGCGGGGGTGGCTTCCCGGAGCGAAGAGGTCGTCACGTAGCCCGCTCTTCACCATCCACCAGCCGAGGAAGCCCTGGAATCCGATCAGGCCGCAGATGCTTGCGAGTTTCCATGCCATCGAACGAGACACACGGCGCCGCGCAATGAAGTAGGCTGTGGGTAGCAGGAAGGTGACGCCGATGACCCTGCCCCAGAGCCGGTGGGTCCACTCCATGAAGTAGATCTGTTTGAACTCGGGGAGCGTCATGTTGGCGTTGAGGAGGGCAAACTCGGGTGACGACCTGTATTTGGCGAATTCGCTCTCCCAGTCGTCCTGGTTCATGGGTGGGAGCGAGCCGGTGATGGGACGCCATTCGGTGATGCTAAGTCTGCACATCGTTAGCGAGTGCCTACCTCGGTACACCCGAGCACCAATTGAAGCACAACGTACCCAGACTCGGTGAGGCGTGTCAGTCCGCCGAATACTACGATGCCAAAGACACTGGCCGCGCTCCCCAGCAGCCAGTATGCCACGCTCTTGCTGCTCTCCATCGGGAAGAAGTTCCTGCTGCTCTTCTGCGGGAAGCTTTTGCGGCTACTTTGGGCCTTCAATACAGCGGCCACCGCCACCGGGGCTTCTGCTGTCGACTTCCATCTCACGGCTTGCAGCACTGACACTTGAGGAGCAGATGCACTTGGAGCTCGAATGGGCGAGGGAACTGGCGAATTGAGACACGGCCGATAGACAAATAGGCGGCGCGTGAGCCGCGGGGCAACGCTCCGCAACAAGGGGAACGTCTGGAATATTGAGGCCATCGCAATGGCTGCGCGATGGGAAAGAGACGTCCGCGAGGGTTGAGGCGAGTTTTCAGGTGGACTGACGACTTGGCGGCTCTGCCGCGCGGAAGCACGGCGGACAAGCGCCCAGATCGCGGCTTGAGCCCTGCGCCGCCACCGCCGTAGCAGCCATGGAACTATGTAATCTTCCAGCGCGAACCGTATCACAATGGCGCATCATCATCCGTCACCGCGACGACCAATCCCGATGACCCTCACTACTCACCTGTTCGCTGGCTGCTGCATTATTCCCTTCTCCATTCTTTCAGCACACAGCGTTAGCGTCTCATTCATGTCCATATATCCCCTCCCGTTCCTCCATTGAGGTCCTGCCTCTGATACCCTGCGGCGAGCCCGCAGCCTGTGGAGTATACCTGTGGAGCATACCTGTTAAGCTTGATGTCCTGAGATAGCAGCATGAACGAAATGCATCACTCTCCGATCCATGACGGTCACGAGTCCAGCGAGGATCCGGACCATGTGTCGTCGCCCGACGTCGACGAGCCCGGGAATGACACGGCATGGAATCTGGACGGAGCCGTTGATGAGGCTGCAGACACCCATCATACTAGCCTCTTCTCGCCAGGGGTAGCAACGGTCGTATCGGAAATGTCACCTAACTCTTCGCGTCCGCTCGCTGTGCTGGCCAGCTCCTCGGCCATGATGAAGCGGACCGCCCGACTAAAGGTCTTGGACGAGCAGCCGACGACGGCTGCCCAGATAAACACAGGCATCGAGAGGGCACAGAAGGACGCCGACGACCCCACCACACCCGTCGACAGCAAGAAATCGACTGCGCGCGGTAGAGACTACACGACACTCACTTTGAGTCGATTGTTTGCCGGCGATGCGACCTTGCCCAGCTCACGAACGCCGTCGTACAACCAGGCAGCGGGGCCATTGTACTTGCGATGTCAGTCCCCGCTTCCAACCCGAAGACCTCAAGAGTGCAGGTGATGGAAAGTGCTGACCACTGTACCCGCAGCATCCGAGGCCGTATCCCTCCCCGACCACCTCTACATGCGCGGCCTGCTTGAAGGACGCCATTCGGACATCACAGTCATCGCCTTTGGCCAGCGCTATGCCCTACACCGCTTGATCTTGGACCGGGCCCCCTTCTTCACCACGGCCTTGTCGGAGCCATGGATAGAGAGCCAGTCCAAAGAGGTGGCGCTGCATCCCGAGGAAATTGACACCAGCATCACACGGGCTGCATTCGAGCTTGCAATAAAAAAACTGTACGGATGTGACATTGCCAAAGAAGGTGATACCGAGGCCATCGGCCTGTTCGCCACCGGCTGTTGGCTCGAGATGCAGGACATGATCGACGCATCCATAGAGTCTATCCTTCGCCAGATGAGTCTGGAGACGCTTTCGCCCCTCATCAGGCTGGTCACAACAAACTACTACGGACGCCCCGGGGACCGCATCCTAGCATCAGCCAAATCCATGCTGCATCGCAATGGCTGGGAGATGCCCCTGCGGTATTGGGACGGCATCCCGGGCGACATCATCCGGGAGATTGTTGCAGGTGATGGCTTTTTCGTCAACAGCGAGTGGGACCGGTGGGTGCTCGCTAAGCGTCTCCTTGACCGACGGCTTCGGGAAGCGGCCATCGACGCCGAGCTGATGGAACCCGGCCAAAGACCCACCCCGAAAGCACCCGATTCCATGGGCCTTATGGCCCTTCGATTCGACTCTGTCTACCGCCAGAACTTCTTAACAGTCAGCCAACCAATGCCCGATAGCCACGCTCGATGGTTCGCTCTTTACACGAACCCAGATATTGAGCGCATCTTAGTCCTTCTCGATGAAGGCATTCACTACATTCACATGGAGTACGAGCAGCTAGACTTCATCAGGGCCGCACGAGATGTATTTGGCTTGCTCGTCATGCCCGAGAGAGTAATTTCCAGCGCCTTATGGCAACAGCTGGCTCTACGGCAAAGGGTCTTGAATGCAGACGAGAAGGACCAAGAGCTAGGCCTCAGCCAGATTATGCCAGAGCTAATGACAACGGTCACAATGACCAAAACTCAAGGCCGGGCATTCGCTAACGGTGAGCGGAAGGCAAGCGTCTACACTCCTGACAAAGAATCCGAGATGGAGTCTGGCAGCTGGGATGGAAACGGCAAGCCTCGCAAGTTCTGGATTCCTAGCACCGACTGTAACATTGTGCTTGGTAACGGTGCTGAACCAGTGGTCACAACCTCGAATTCCTTCCAGCGTCACGCAAATCGCCTGTCGGCCACGATACAACCAGAGGATGCCCAGTGGGCGACGGACTTCGCATCTACTCCATCAACCATCGCCAATCCGAACACGCGCGCCGATCATCCGGCGAGGCCAGTGTCCGCAAGCGGAAGCAATGCCGGCCAGCCAAAGCCGATGGCTTACACCGAATTCCCTCCTTTCCGATTCTCTGCTGAATTCCCAAACCCGCGCTTTCTAAAGGAAAAGAAGAGAGTGTACTCACGCACTGTGTCATACGCAGGCTCACTATGGAATATCTACATTCAAAAGGTTCGCTCAGCCAAGAACGTTCAATTGGGAGTCTACCTGCACCGCGCTAAGGAGCGTGAGATAGACGAGACCACCCCTAGCAGCACCCTTAGCCAACGAAACGTGGGTTCTGTTGACGAGCGAATTGGGCAGCTTGAGAGAGAAATGTTACTCCGCAGCGAACGACGCGAGCGTCGACGCAGCAGTCGTGTTCCGACCACCGACCAAACAGGTGAGGAGGATACAAGTGGGAGCGGGGGCGACGTAGATGCAACTCTCGTTTCAACAGGTTTGCGGAACCCTCTCTTCACGACCAGCAGTCTCGGTCGGCGTCGAAAGGCAGACCGATTTCCTCGACCTGCTAGCAACGTAATCCATAACTTCTCTTCCTCGCCCCAGTTTCAACACTTCCAATCCCTATCTACATCGCCCCCAGCGGATTTGGGAGTGGTTGAATCTCCACCTTACCACTTAGCCCTACTGTCTCCATCCGAGCATCCCTCCGACGACTCGGATGACGAAGGACCAGAAACCGCATACCCAAACCCCAGCCTCTCTTTCCCGGTGCCCCGAAAGTCCCGCGCGGCCATCGCAACTCTCTCTCCCTATGTCGATGGTCGTCCGACGATCAAAACGTACTTCAAGATTTACAGCCCTTCAAAAGGCGGCAGGATGCTAAGTATTTACGAGAGCGCCCCCGACCGCTTCAACTTCAGTCAAAGCTGGGGATGGAAAAGCAGCACGTTAATGTTAGATGAGATTGTATTGAATGGAAATGGGAGTGAAGAGACGGCGATGGGGGAGGGGGAGGGAGCTGCGAGGAGAAAACTTGGGGATGGGAAGTTGAGATTTATGGTCGTTATCGGGAATTTATGAGTGGAGCCATCAGGCAGTTGTATGACGAGGTAGTTGTACCATACGGGGCACTGAGGGGTTGCCAACGACAGAGGCTACATGCTTGGGTTTTCCTTGATACCTAAGTGGATTGCTGGTGTGATCTTGGGACATGCACAGGGATCATCAACGTAGACATAAGATCTAGACTAGGGAGCAATCTTTCCCACGGACAGATTACATCATGAAATCATGAATTACGAAATGCTTCCTGTTAGCAGAAATTAGTCTCTTAACACCCTCTCTAACCGTAGGAAAGGTTTAAGAAGAGTAACTCTACCCTCGTGCTATTCCCTGGTTTGCAGTGACACGTTGAACAATCAACGCTTTGACAACAAGAACGCTTCTTCAACAATGATGGGCTCCGCAAATTCAGACTCCTAGCCTTGGGAGAGTTTCTAAGCGTAGTCGCGGTCGCAAATGTTTCGGATCCGATCCTACGAATGTTCCCTTTTTAGGAAAACGTCACAATACTAGCGTACAATATGTGAGGCTCCCATCCCCATTAAGCATTGTCCTACGTGCTTCGAAGATCAACCTTTGGACAGAAGTGAACGTGTTCAGTCACGTGGCTCACATTCCAGGATCAGTGCTATTTAGATTGCCAAGGTCGGAAACCGGTGATGACGTAGGAGAAGGAATGCCTCAACACTAGGGACTAATCTAGAAAAACTAGTCGAGATTAAGCATGCTTAGAAATTCTGCATTAATTTCAAATCTCCTAATTTAGATAACAGAGAGGAGTGTCATCTGCAATTAATTCGTGTGGGAAAACAGTATAGGATAATGTAACCTCAGATGAGCATCAGTTATAAGAGAAGTGATGTATTCTAGACTAAGTATCTAAAAAGCTAACGTATTATACAAGCAAGCAGTCTACACAAGCGAACAGTCTACTTTAATTAACAATGCATCTACTAGTTAACTTTTAATACACAAATAAAGAAGTTTAAATACTTTTAGCCTTTTAAGTAATTTTAAAAGGCTACATTTTTAAGCATTTAAACTATAATAGTAACTTATAAAGTCTTTAAAACTATATATTTAAAAATTTTGTAACAACTAGCTATCTAGGTATGTCCTAGACCGACATAGCCTAGCCTAGACCGCACTAGGCAGTCTCGGACAACTCCCGACCTGTGCCGTTAACCCCGTACTTTCTAGAGAACGCCTACCTCGCCTAAAACTAGGCATCCTAGAAAGGTAATACTTTAAACTTAGCCTACAGCATACTAGATTTGTTGCTACTAGCGCTGCTATACCTAGCTCTCTAAAGAAGTATATAGCTAGTTGTCGCGTAAGAGAGCCCATGGTCCTGGTGTCGCACCTGTGTTTCGGACGAGCAGCCTGAGACACTTGGCGCCGGAGCTCCCACTACATAGGCAGGCTCCCTATGAGCCTCTCATAGTCAATAGACTTGCTCCTCATTGCTCCCTGATCAGCGGTTGCGACACTAGTTATAAAAACTCTCTTTAAATAGCAAAAATTACTTTAGAGATTAAGTAAGTACTAGTTATACTTTTATGTTATAGTTACACCTTTGTTAGTTAACACACTTTTTAATTTTAAAGTGTATACTCTATTTTTATAATAAAATACTACCACAGTTCATAAATGATCTGTAAAAGCAAAGCTTGCTTAGAGCAATAGTTAGCACATTAAGGTAGGTGTAAGGCGGGATGTCCTAGAGCGGGATAGTATAGCCTCCCCTAGCCTGTTTAGAGGTCACATAACCTGTGCTTTGTATATAAGCATAAATCCTAATAAGCAAGGCTTAGTAGTAATTTATCTTTTTTATAATACACTTTTATTTTTCTTTAAAAGCTTGCTTTTAGTGCTATCTATGCTACCTACTATTCTATCTTTATAGTAGGTTATTTAGGTTAAAAAATAGTTTATAATAATTTTTATAAATTATTATATCTTAGGTTACTTAAAACTTATTTAATAGGTTTTTATATTAGCTTTAACTATAACTTAACTTTATTCTTTATAGTTACTTTTATTTTTTTAAGTATTTAGTTACACCTTTTTTCTTAGCTAGCTTAGTAGTTTTCTAATATCCTTTATATAAGGCCTATAGGTGTTAATAGCATTCCTAGGTTCTAAGTCCCTACGCACTTCTATATGCCTTTAAGTAGATTCCTACTGCATTTAGACCTATTGTCTTGCCTGCGCTGTTACATAGTTGTAGCATAATGCTTAGCAAATTAGTATTAGACAGGTAATAGACACATAATAATAATATTTAACTAGTACATGTAAATAATTATAGCCTATAACTAAGTATAGCTAATACTAATCTCTAACACACTAATATAGCTAAAAAATATAAAATAAATATAGCTAACTATAATTTAAATATATTTTATATAACATATACTAAAGTAAACTACATATAAATTAATATTAAAGTATACTTATATTAAGTATACTTTTTTGTAAAAAAAATATATATATAAAATATATAAACTAATAAAAAAAATTATAACTAACTAATTAGTGTGTTTTAAAAAAGATTTTACTTAACTTTATAGTTTATAAACTTAAATATATTAAGTATAGTAAGCTTTACTAATAACTTACTTTATTTTTTATAATACTATAAAGATAGTAAAATTATTACTATTTATATACTTTTTTACTTATTACACTTTTTATAGCTATTTAATATAGGTTATTTTACTTTTTAAAAAAATATAAGCGCTTAGCTAAAAACTTTATACATAACTAAATTATATATTATAAAGTATACTTATAAGTAAAGTAATACTTAAAAGTAAATAATAGCTAGCTAATTTTTAGCTTTAATTAAGTTAGTAAAATTTCTTTTTTAAGAACTAAAGGTTTATATAAATTTAAGATTAGTTATTATCTAAATAAAAGTATTTAGATACGCTGTTAGGCGTTACATGTTATAGGCTTATGTTATAGTTATATATATAAACAGATAAATATTTCTTTATTTTGCACAGACTTAGAAGAAGAAGAATAATTAACACTAGTGTTACAGCCAACAGTCAGACCGTAATAACCCAACTGGCTGTCCCACACAGCCCGAACGACGTCGGATGGAAGGCGCTTAACCCCACGTTGGACGAATCACGTGACAGGACGGATGAGGAATGGCTCCGGCTTTTAGACAAAAGCCTCGCGGAATGCACCGTCCAATAGAGACCTGAGCACTGCAGGCAATGCAGGCATTGCAGGTGGATGCAGGCAACGCATGCAACGCCTGCAACGCATGCAAGCGCATGCAAACCCTATGTATATAGTCTTGATCACAACTATAGTTAGGAGGTTGTGATTACTATTAAGTCTATTTTATCCCCCCCCTATTCTATAGACTAAGAAGCTGTGCTATTTAACCTAAAAAAGACACTGCTGCCTTGTATATCTTGCACTATATATACCTCTATTTCTATCCCTACAGATTAGGTTTACTAGCTCTCTATACAGCTGCTAGGTTAAACCACAAGCCTGCCTACCCTTTATCCTGCGCTACCCTATACTCTGCTTAACAGACTGTACACCTAATCTAGCTAAGTCCTACCCCTTTTAATAACATATTATTATAGGCTAACGTACTCCTAAAAATACTGTTTTGCTAGAGTAAGGATTGTAACAGTAATCACCACCCCTGCAAAGTATAGCTACTACCACCTCAGACATCAGCATGACAGGCGCTTCAGCCGCTGGCACTAGCTAGACCCCTACAGCAACTAAGGAAGCACAAAATTAGTAAATACTCTATCTCTAAAATAAGCTTAAACAGCTTAAATAACACCTCTAGCTTTAAGCATAATAGAGACTTTTAAACATCTATTAAATCTAAGCTTTATAGCTAGAAGTAGCTAACTTTAGAAATATTACTTAAGAAAAAACTAGTATTAAGTTAAAAAAGACCCTACGCTTAGCCCCCTTTAAGGCATTTAATAGTTCTGCTAAAGACCTAAAACCTTTCTTTACTAAATGCTACCTTTACATGCAATATAATAAAGGCGCCTTTAGAATAGATAAAGAAATAATTTTTTAAATAAGCCTACACTTAAAAGAATTGCCTGCTATTTAGTTTTAACTCTATGCTAATAATTAAATAAACTATAAAATAACTAGTAAACCTTTACTACTAGAAATATAAAAAGTCTTTAATAATATTAACTTATTTAAAGCAGCTCTAACTATAATCTATAGGCTAGTTAACAAAAAAAAAGAGTAGTTAACTAAATAGATACTCTCTAATAGGGTAACAGCTCTGTCTAATAATACGCAGCCTGCTTTAGGGAATTGCTAGCTATCTGCAGATGGACAGACAAAAAAGCTGTAGGATAAATGTTCTATAAAGGACTTGCAGATACTATTAAGAATAAATTTACTTATAATAAAAAGCCTAAGAGCTTTAAGAATTATGTTAAAAAAGCACTTATTTATAATAAAAGACATGCTAAGTAATATAGTAAAAAAAAGAAAGGCTAGACAACTGTAAAACCTAACTAGTTTTAGAAAAAAAAAGAAGTTCTATAGACTAACACTAAACTTATAGACCTTAGTTACGCTAAACATATGTGTAGCTTCTCTAAGAAAAAGAGCAGTACCTTTAGAAATATAAAGCCACCTTTAAACAAGGAATAAAAGAAATAGCTTAAAAAAAAGGCATGCCTTAATTATAAAAAAGTAGGTTACTTTTATTAAGAATGCCTAGACTCTAAATAACTAGAGAATAAAGATAGCAGCTTAACTATAAAAGCAATGCATATAGTATAAGGTCTAACAGGACTAGAAATTCTAGAAAGACTAGACAAACGCCTCTGCTAGTAATGTAGAGATAACTACAAATCTAAAGAGTGCCTTATAGAATATTAGGAAGTTAAAGTATAAAATAACAATAAAGTCTTTAAGGCACTAAAATAAGCTGCTACCTATAAAGGATAGTAAGGCTACACCTAAGCTGTGACATATATTGTAAATGTTAAAAAAGGGAAAGAAAAGTTTCCTTTAAGGCAACTAATAACAGGAATCTCTGCTTAAGAGCTAAGATATAGATTTACCTATAAAGACTGCTAGAAGTGTAGCAACACACACTATTAAAAGAACTACAAAAAATTAATATATAAAGTACACATTAATAATAATGTTAAAACTTACAACATTTTAAGAGAAATTACTAGAACACACTACATAGTTATAAACAGAGAAGAGCAGTAGAAAATGTTTAAGAAAATCCTTAATAAGGGAGAAGGCCCTAAATAGCAATGTACGCTACTAATAACGCCTAAACTATGTTAAGAACAAGCTAACACGCCCCCCCCTGCGCTAGCTATTACCTGCAAAGACTTAGAAACCTAACAGAACAAAGGGTACTGCATTTCTTGTAGAAGCAAGTAACATAACAAGTTCTAATGCACCTATTAAAGCCACCTGTTACAAATTGTTAGAACTAAGGAATACCCTAGATAGACACAAGCCTAACTAATACTAATACTAAATAACCTTAAGGAATGCCCCTACACTTAGTACCTATGCAGCAACAAGTACTGCATTAAACACTGGCTAACTAAACATAGGGCTGGCTAGTGGCCCTATAAAACACAAAGCACACCTAATAACAGCACACTTGCTAGCATAACATCTACCTGTGAAATGCCACACTGCCTTCATTGCAGAAACAGTACTAACTACAAACAAGAACTATAGACAGAATGCAATAATAAGTTAGCATGCATGTTTTATTATTTCTAATAAAGGGCACACTAACAAAACAATTAAACGCTATACTATTATAAAATAGAAGATGCTTAATGCACTGTATTAGAATGCATAATACTAGAATATTAAGAATATAAAATGCAATTAGACTAGATTATAGAATACAAAGACGCAGCTACAGCTGTTAAAGAAGACAATAAAATAGACTATAAAGAAACACCCTATAAAGTCTGCGTTCTTATTGCAGTAGGACAAGGACCTGGCTAAAGCCTAACAACTAAGATTATCCTTAGTTACTTAGGCTAGAAATAGGAAGGACTTGCTCTAATTAATAGTAGATGCACATTTACAGCAATTAATTTAAGATAGGTTAACTAAGAAAACATACTCTTCTAAAGTAAAAAAAATCCTTTTAAAGTATCCCTAGCTAACGCCTTATTAATAGAATATAGAGTAGGATAAATCTAACTTAAAACAGAGAAACTTATTACTAAAGCAGAAGGCACAGAGGACTAGATATCCTTTAACATATTGCTACTAGAAGGCAAATACTAGGCAATATTAGGTTATAACTAGCTTTACAAACATAATTTTGCAATTAATTAGCAAACTATGTCCTTATCCTACTAAAATAACAAAGAAGCAGTGTGACTAGCGCTTTACAAGAAATCTAATTAAATAAACCTACAGAAGCTAAAAATGTTCCCCTGCTAGAAGCCTAAAGCTTAGGCTGTCTGCCTAATAAAGAAAGAACTAGAAGAAATCTCTTTTAAAAAATTTAAAAAAGAATAAGATCTTAACTAGATTAGAATCTACTAAATAGTTTAGAAAATAACTAAGATACCTAAAGAATATAGAGACTACAAAGACATGTTTAAAACCCTAGAGAACCTAGAAGAACTGCTGCTACATTAACCCTAGGACTACGCTATTAATCTTAAACTAAACCTATAACTAAAAACATATAAACTATAACTATTAATAAAAGCTTAAAAAGAAGCCCTGTAGGAATACATAGATAGGATGTTATCTTAAGGACACATTAGAGAAAGCAACAGTCTAGTAGCATTAGCAGTAACCTTTACAAAGAAAAAGAATAGTAAGGTATAAGTGTGTTAAGACTATTAAACTCTAAATAATAATACTATAAAAGACTAATACCCTTTACTAATTATTTAGGACATTATAAATTAACTTAAAGGAACTAAACACTTTACTAAGTTTAATATCTAAGATAGATTTAATAAAATAAAAATTAAAAAAAGACATAAATAAATAACAGCCTTTTAGACCCTAAAAGGACTATATAAACTTCTTATTATGCTATTTAGACTAACTAACGCACTAGTAACCTTCTAACAAGTTATTAACACAGCACTTAACCCCTACCTAGATATATTTATACTTGTATATCTAGACAATGTCCTAATATATACTAAAAAAGATAGAACAGACTACATATCTAAAGTAAAACTTATACTTAACTAACTCTAACAGTACAGACTTTACCTATAATTAGAAAAATGCAAATTTAATGTATAAGAAACTAAATACCTAGGATTTATTATTAATAAAAAAAAGATAAAGATAGACTCTGCTAAAGTAAGCAAGGTATTAGACTAGCTAACACTAACTACTATAACAGAAATTAAAGGATTTCTAGGCCTTACTAGCTATGTACAAAGAATAATTAAGGATTATTTAAAAATAGCTCTTCCCTTTACTAATGCTACCTTAAAAGAAAGAGCAACCTAGAAATTCTAATAGATAGTAGAAATAGAAAAGGCCTTTTAGAAATTAAAGCAAATAATAACAACCTACTCTGTTCTTAAGATGTACAACCCTACACTAGAAACAAAAGTACACACTAATGCCTTATTAAAAGCAGAAGAAGCAGCACTTTTATAGAAATAAGAAAACAGTTAATAGCATCTAGTAGCCTATTACTTAGCAAAGTTTACGCTACTAGAGTAGAAATATACTATCCCTAACAAGGAACTAAAAGCTATAGTAAACGCATGTAGAAGCTAGAAAGTAGAACTTTAAGGCCTTAGTTAATAATTTATAATCTATACTAACTATGTAAACTTTATTACCTTCTTTACTACTAAAAAACTTTTACTAATGCATGTATAATAAGCTATAGAACTTGCTTAGTTTAACTTTGTTATTAAACATGTAGTAAAGAACAGCAACTAGCAAGCTAACGCTCTAAGTAGGCGCACAGACTATTTTAAGGTAAATAAACAGAACTTAGAGGAATTTATAATCTTTAAGAAAACCTCTAAAGGAATAGTCTATAGAGGGCTAAATCCTAAAGAACTACTGTGTTCCCTTATAATAGTTAAATAAAGATAGAAGAACCTTATATAGGAATATTACAAAGCTCTAATGTTTAGACATCTAGGAATTAGGTCTCTACAGAAAAAAATTAAGATTGCTATACTCTACAAAATACCCTAATTAAAACACTTATGTACTAAAGTTTTATAGAAATGTAACACCTATAATAAAAATAACCCCTAACGCTACAAACTTTATAGATTGCTC